CACCCAGGCGCCCCTAGGTGAAACATTTTCTCTTGGGTAGAATGAATAAAGGGACAGAGAGAAGATGAAAGGGTTGCATTAATTTATTCTTGCCACACAGAAGGAAACATCAGGATTGGGGAGGAAACAATGAAGTTCAGGTATCTTTAAAACTTTTTTTCTAGCAGCCTTAGAATTCATACTTTATGATATTAATAATAGGAAGAAAAAGTAACATTAAAATATTCTACTTAAAAAATATTACTTTTTATGACCTAGGTTAGGTGTCCATGTATGTTGTTTAATTTCCAAACTGCCTTGTGTTTTATTATTTTTATACATGATGAAGCTGAAGCACAGAGGTAAAAATGCCCAAGGATATATAGCTAGTAGAATGTAAAATAATGGTGTGAACCTAGATCTAACTCCGTATCTTCTATTTTTTTTTTTACATTTTCATGAAAGATACATAATTTTTTGGTTGAAAAAGTAATACATGTGTACTGTAACAATTCAAATAATGTAAAAATGTCCAAAGTAGAATTAGTGGACCCCACTTCCCACAACTCACACATACTATACTCACCATTAACAGGTGTTGTATCTCTTTCCTTTACTTATGTATTTACATATGTATATTTTCTTGTTAAACATGGGATTACATTCTGCATACAATTTTTAATGTAGTTTTCAATATTTCTTTTGACCTATAACTTAAATAAACTCAGATATTTAATGTGTATGTTTTGCAAATATTTTCTCCCATTGTAAAACACTATGAGGCATAATGGTGTCATTAAGGGTAGAAATTTACAATTTTTATGGGGGTTACTTTACCAATGTTTTCTTTTATGCTTAGTGCCCTTTTTTCCTAAGAAAGCTTTGTCTACCTCAAAATGGCCAACATATTTTTTATGATCTCTTCTAGAAGCTTTTTTGTTTTAGCTTTTGCATTTAAATCTGTGACTCATCTCAAATTAATTTGTGAGTATAGAGTTTCCTGGGGTGTTTTATAGTTCAGAGCATAGTTTAACATGGTAATGTTTTGTGTGATCTTGAAAAGGACATTGTGTTTTACTTCTGTTGAGTAGAGTGTTCTATCCGTGTCAAAGTTGGTTGATAGTGCTATCTTTCTATATCCTTACTGACTTTCTGGCTATTTGTTCTGTCAGTTATTGAGACAGGGTATTGAATTTCCCAGCTAAAATTGTGGATTTGTCTGTTTACTCTCTCAATTTTGTCAAGTTTTGCCTCAGGTATTTTGAAGTTCTGTTGTTAAGAGGCATACAGATAGGATTGTTATATTCTGTTGTTGAATGACTCTTTGTGAAATGACCTTTATCTCTGGAGGTACTTTTTGCTCTGGAATCTACTTTCCTGAAGTAGTATAGCCACTCTGGCTTTCTTTTGATTCACATTAGCATGATGTATAGTTTCCATTCTTTTACTTTTAACCTGTGAATTTATTTATAAGGGGGTTTCTTGCAGGTAACCTATATGTGAGTCTTGTTTTAAAAAAATCTAATTTGAGAATCTCTACTTTTTGATTAGTATGTTTAGACTGTTATATTTAGTGTGATTGTTGAAATAGGTTTAAATCAGCCATTTGTGTTCAATTTGTCCACCGTTTTGTTTTCTTTTCCTACCTTCTTTTGAAATTAATAGACTTTTAAATGATTACGTTTTATCTCCTTTATTGGCTTATTATTCATTTTTTTTACAGTGTACCTCTCTAACTTATCACAGTTGACCTTCAAGTAATGATATATAGATTGATATATATATATATATAAGAACTTTGTATAAGAAGCTTACACCAGAGCTTACTGTATATAACGATATACAAATTTATATATCCTATATAAGAACCCTATATAAGACCATTACACCAGAATACATCTAGTACTCCCTTTCTAGCCTATTATTGTACATTTTACTTCTACATTTTATTTTATATTTTTAAAAGATTTTATTTATTAGAGCGCTTGCATGACCAGGGGAGGTGGAGGGGAGGGGCAGAGGGAGAGGGAGAAGCAGCAGGGAGTCTGAGGCAGGGCTTGATCCCAGGACCCTGGATCATGACCTTAGCTGAAGGCAGATGCTTAACTGACTGAGCCACCCAGGCGCCCCTGTTCTGTTTTGTTTTTCAGTTTCATTGAGGTATGATTGACAAAATTCCAAGATACTTAAAGTATACATAGTGATAATTTGATATGTGTATATATATGTGTATATGTATACATACACATATACATACACTGATACATTTGATATGTACATTTGATATGTATATATATGTATATATGTATATACATATATGTATATGTATACATACACATACATACACTGTGAAAGGATTCCCCTGTTGAGGTCATTAAAACATCAATCACCTCACATATTTACCTCTCTCTTCTTTTTTGGATGAGAACATTCGTATTCTACTCTTTAAGTAAATTTCAATTGTACAATACGGGGTTATCAACTACAGTCACAGTGTTTTACATTAGATCCTCAGACCTTATTTATTTTATAGCTGAAAGTTTGTATCCATCACAAACCTTTCCCTATTCCCCCCCTTTATCTTTGTTTTTGAAAGGTGTTATTGTTGGATCTACATTTGTAGAATGACAGTTACCTGTCTTTTTTTTTTTTTTTTCCCCCTTTTGGTACTTTAAAGATATTGCTCCACCATCTTCTGGCTTGCATTGTTTCTGATGAGAAAAGTTTCCTGCCACCCTTATTTTTGTTCCCCTCTACAAAATGTGTCTTTTTACTGTAGCTGCTTTTAAGTCTTTATCTTTAGTACTGGTTTTTAGCAGTTTGATTATGATGTGCCTTGGTGTGATTATTTTTGCTTGGTTCCTTCCCACTTGAGGTTCATTGAATTTCTTAAATTGAGAATTACTAGTTTTTATGAATTTAAAAATTTTCACCCAATATTTCAACTTTCCACCCCCCTCTTGCCATCTTTGGGATTTCATTGTGCATACATTAGGTTGTTTAAAGTTGCCCTATAGTTCACTGATGCTTTGATGCTCTGTTCCATTCTCCCCCGCCAACCTTCTTTCTGTGTTTATTTTGGATAGTTTTTATTGCTAATTGCTGTGTTTTAAAATTCAGTAATCATTAAGTCTCCAGAATCTAATCTGTTAATCCAACTCAGTGTATTTTTCATGTAAGACTCTATAGTGTCTGGCCTTTTGATTTGGGCCATTTTTATATCTTCTATTTCACTTTTTATCATGCTTATGCTTTCTTCTTCCTTATTAGTGTATAGACAATATTTATAATAGTCATTTTAATATATTTTTTTCCAAATCCATCATACTTGTCATTTCTAACTGACTGAATTTTCTTCTTAGGAGTCATTTTTTTCTGCTTCTTTGCATGTGTGGCAATATTAAATGGATACCAGACATTGTGCTTTTATATTGTTTGGTGCTGGAGTTTTTGTATTCTTATTTTGAAAATTTTTTTATTTTGCGGGTGCCTGGCTGGCTCAGTTGGAGGAACATGCGACTACTCTTGATCTCAGGGTTGTGAGTTCAAGCCCACGTGGGGTGTGGAGCCTACTTAAAAAAAATTTTTTTTTAAAGATTTTATTTATTTATTTACTAGAGAGCGAGCAAGAGAGAAACAGCGTGAGAGAGGAGAGGGTCAGAGGGAGAAGCAGGCTCCCCGCTGAGCCGGGAGCCCGATGTGGGACTCGATCCCAGGACACTGGGATCATGACCTGAGCCGAAGGCAGTCGCTCAACCAACTGAGCCACCCAGGCACCCCCCAAATTTTTTTTTTAATTTGTAATTTTTTTTTCATATTCCTTTAAGTACTTTTGTGCTTTTTCTTGGATCATTTAAGTTACGTGGAAATAGTTTGATCCTTTTTTGAGGCTAGCTTTTAAGCGTTGTTAGGACAATCCAGAACAGCCTTTAGTCTAGTGTTAATTTGGTCACACTGCTGAGGCAATAGCTTTCTTGGGACATTGCCTTGTATTTTAGGTGGTGTTTGGCTGATTGGTATGCTAATTATTCCCAGCCCTGAGTGATTCATGAGGATTGTTCCGATTGGTGCTTTTGATTTTTAAAAGTATCTTCCATTTTTATGTTATACTCATATTACATGTTTTTCAGATTATTTTAGCATTTTAATTTTTTAAATTTATTTTTTTTCTTTTTCAAGTTTTTATATAAATTCCAGGTAGCTAACATATAGTGTAATAATAGTTTCAGGTATAGAATTTAGTGATTCATCACTTACATACAACACCTAGTACTCACCACAAGTACCCATTGCCCATGTAACCCATCCCTCCCGTCTCCCTTCCAGTAGCCCTCAGTTTGTTCTCTATAGTTAAGAGGTCTGTTTTATGGTTTGCCTCTCTTTTTTTCCCCCATGTTCTTCTGTTTTGTTTCTTAAATTTCACATATGAGTGAAATCCTTGAGTATTTGTCTTTCTCTGACTGACTTATTTTGCTTAGCATAATACACGTCATTGCAAATGGCAAGATTTCATTCTTTTTGATGGCTAAGCAATATTCCTGTGTGTGTGTGTGTATGTACCACATCTTCTTTATGCATTCATCAGTTGATAAACATTTGGGCTCTTTCCATAATTCAACTATTATAGGTAATGCTGCTATAAACATATAGGGTGCATGTGTCTCTTCAAATCAGTATTTGGGTAAATACCTAGCAGTGCAATTGTTGGATTGTAGAGTAGTTCTATTTTTTAACTTTTTGAGGAACCTCCATACTGTTTTCCAGAGTCTGTCTTATTTTTATTAAAATATATTAAAATTATGTTATGCTAAGTTTTAGTGATTGAAAGATTAAATTTAGTGATTAAATTGTCATAATTTCATAATACCCTGAAAGAATGATCACACCTCCTAATTAACCTAATGCATGTGGGGGCAGATGATACACTCTTAGTATCAGGCCTTTATTTGCACTGGTTATGAATAAATTGCACGTATGTATTTCTCTTACTAAATAACTCTCACTCTTCTCTCCTTCTCTAGGAAGAACGTGTTGTGAATCACATGGCAGCAAAGATTATTGAAAATGTCTGCACTACCTTTTCTGCTCAGGCCCAGGGCTTTATTACAGGGGAAATTGGACCCATTTTATGGTACCTATTCAAACATTCCACTGTTGATTCTCTCAGGATCACAGCAATATCGGTAAGATGGAGCATCTCTGGGGGATATATCTGGGTATATTTAAACACCAAGTTTGAAGAACTGTGCCAGAAATAGGGTAAATTTCATTGGATAAGTAGGACACAGAAATCTCAGACTAATATAGTTGGTGAGAACAATAATTTTCTTTTAAAACAAAATTTTCGGGTGCCTGGGTGGCTCAGTTGGTTAAGCGCCTAAGCCTTCGGCTCAGGTCATGATCCTGGAGTCCTGGGATCGAGTCCCGCATCAGGCTCCCTGCTCAGCAGGGAGTCTGCTTCTCCTCTGACCCTCCTCCCTCTCATGCTCTCTGTCTCTCATTCTCTCTCTCGCAAATAAATAAAAAAAAAAATTAAAAAAAAATATTAAAACAAAATTTTCAAAACTGGGGTTGGAAAACCTTGGGACTGTGGGGAAATTGCAGGAGGACCTTGTGGGACCATAACATATGGTTTCAGAAATGACTGGGAAGTGACAGTGGGATGCTGTGCTCATAGGTGGGGTACAGCATTTGGTTTGGTTTATGTTTAGTGTTCCCTGACTTTTCCTGTTAGTTCCCTCTTTCAGGTTTTATGCTAAATACATTTATCATGAATTAATTATAAAGTGAATTCATGTTAGTATTCAGGCATCTGTGGTTTTGCAGCTTTTGTATTTTGATTGGCTGTCTCCTACTTTGCTGACTTAGTGTAAAAGATAATTATGTATGAAGAGGTGTTAACATGGTTGTATCAATTTAATAGTCTGTTGAACAAATACAACCCTTGCTCATATGATTTATTAAAATACTCTTTTTGATCACCGGTCTCATTTGGACTCTCAACATTATATGGCAGCCTTGCTGTCTCTCTCTCCTCTGCTCATTCTTGCACTTCTTTTGTCCCTTATTCTCTTTCCTTAGACCTCCAACCCACATTTTCCTCCTCTGTGCTCAGTAAGTGACTTTCCTCTGTACTTCCCAGAGAAAAATGGAGACCTCCAATGGTAATTATCCCATTGTACAACTGCCATGTCTGCAGACCTGTTTACATCCCCCCCCCCCCTCGCCCTCATCTTTCCCTCCTGTTAGAGTTGATGAACTATCCCTTCTCCTGGTAGAGAGAAACCTCTCCATGTTTCTTCCCATCTTCTTCCTGTTCCCTTTTTGGGAATCTCACTCAAATGGTTATTTTTGCTCTTTCCTGAATCTTTAACCCTCCTTCTCTACTAGATCATTCTAATCAGCATTGAGGTATTCTTTACCCCATTAAAAAAAGAGAAAAGCACACATGCAAACATATTAAAGAGTCTCTGGGCTGCACATCCCCCTCACAGCCATACTTCTTTAAAGAGTTATTGCCACAAACTATTACTCCTTTTTGGCTGTTTCCTCTTTAACCCAGTGCAGTATCTGTCCCAAGATGAAGCTGATCTTGCTACGATCCCCACTGACTTTTGTGTTGCTAAATCCTGGGAATATTTAGGGGTATTTTCCAGTTCTTACCTTAAATTTACCTATGTAACAAGCACTAAGCATTCTGTTCGTTGAATATTATTAAGCAAAGGATATGTAGCCTCTGCCTCTGTTTCTGTCTCTCTCTTACACACACACACACACACACACACACACATGCATGCATGCACACTTCTGGAGTCACATGATTTCAAAATGACAGAAAAAAACCCCTAATTGTGATATGAGTAATTACAGAGAGACTGTCAGAAAGAGTTACAAAGTATACCAATGAACTTTCTCAAGGCATCTTGGAATCCTATCTTAGAACATCCATTTTATACTATATCTTCTTTATATACAATGGAATATTACTCAGCCATCAAAAAGAATGAAATTTTGCCATTTGCAATGATGTGGATGGAACTAGAGGGTGTTATGCTGAGTGAAAAAGTCAGAGAAAGACAAATACTGTATGATTTTAGTCGTGTGGAATTTAAGAAACAAAACAGAGGATCATAGGGGAAGGGAAGGAAAAATAAGATGAAAACAGAGAGGGAGGCAAACCTTCAGAGACTCTTTTTTTTTTTTAATTTATTTATTCATGAGAGTCAGAGAAGAGAGAGAGAGAGGCAGAAGCAGAGGGAGAAGCAGGCTCCCTGCTCAGGCTCCCTGCCAAGCAGAGAGCCCGATGCGGGACTCAATCCCAGGACCCTGGGATCATGACCTGAGCTGAAGGCAGACACTTAACCATCTGAGCCACCCAGGCTCCCACCTTTAGAGACTCTTAACTATAGGGAACAAACTGAAGGTTGCTGGAGGGGAGGGAGGTGGGGGGATGGGGTAACTGGGTGATGGGCATTAAGGAGGGCACGTGATGTTGATGAGCACTGGGTGTTGTATGCAACTGATGAATCACTAAATTCTACTTCTGAAACTAATAATACACTATATGTTAATTGAATTTAAAAAATTTTAAAAAAGAACATCCATTTTAATCCTGGGCCTTTAAAAAAATCTGTCTTGCTTTAATTGGGTTTATGTTATTTTCATCTTTATACTCAAACATGATTTCTTTTCTCAGCAAATTTTTTTCCAGTTCCCACCAAAGTTGTGTACCTTCTAGCCCTTTCTTCATCTGAGACATTAAGCTTCACCCTTCATCTTGGGGTTCTTATATTTTGTTCTTAGCATTCATCTGAATCATTAATTTTTCACTGAAATTTTGCCTGCTGTCCCAAAAAAGTCTATCCTTTCTTTGCTCCAGGATTCTATTCAGTATCATGTGTTATGTATTGTTTTCCTATTTCTTTAGTTTCCTCCAATATGAAATAGTTCCTCAGTCTTCCTGTGTACTTCATGCCCTTTACAATTTTAAAGAATATAGGGCTTTTATTTTATAGAGGGAGACTCGACCTGGGTCTGTCTGGTGCTTCCTCATGAAACCTCCTTAGCACCATTGACGACCCCTGCCTGTAACCAGTCTGTGATGGGAGCCATAGGAGGATCACCTATTTTTATTATTCCTTCTCTAGCAGAGGTTGGCAAATGTTTTCTATAAAGGTCCAGATAGTAAACAACTTGGGCTTGGTAGGCCACATGTAGTCTCTGTTGTACATCCTTTTTTTTTTGTTTTCTATAGCCCCTTTAAAAATGTAAAAACCATTCTTTTTTTTTTAAGATTTTATTTATTTATTTGAGAGAGAGAGTGAGAGCATGCATGAGTGTTGGGGTTGGGGTGGGGGGAGAAGGTTTTCTTTCTTTTCTTTTTTCTCTTTTCTTGTCTTCTCCTGTCTTCTCTTGTCTTGCCTTCTTTCTTTCTTTCTTTCTTTCTTTCTTTCTTTCTTTCTTTCTTTCTTTCTTTCTTTCTTTCTTTCATTTTATTTATTTGAGAGAGAGCACGAGCTGGTGGTGTGGGGGGAGGTATGTGGGGTGAAGGGCAGAGGGAAAGGGAGAAGCAGGCTGCCCTCTGAGCAGGCAACTTGACACGGGGCTCCGTCTCAGGACCCTGGGATCATGACCTGAGCCGAAGGCAGACGCTTAACCGACTGAGCCACCCAGGCACCCCCGAAACCATTCTTATTGTATACCTCATGAGCTGCGGAAAAACAGGCCTTTGGTATTGGTTGGTATTCTATTGTAAGGAAGCTCTTTCCCTTCTCCCATGGGTATGTGTGTATTTGTATCATTATTTTGATGAATAAGTACTTTATGCAGTGGATCATAATGTGGTACTACTGCCACTGTTATTATTTGTGGGGATGCTGAGGTCATCCTAGATATGGCCAGTGTGATCCCTTCAAGCTGGCTTCTGTGTTCTGTGGACCCATTTCTATCATTGTTTGAGCACTTCATTATTTTCTGACACCACCTGATGTTCTGGGTTAATTTTTACTTTCTGCCAGTTCTGGAATCAATCATTTCTTTGGGGGAACATTTGGTATTTAGAAGCCAAGATCTGGGTGCTCTTTGTGCTTATTGCTATGGGGTGCCATTGTTTCTAGGCCTTCTTAATATTCAGAGTTAGAAAAAAAATCCATACATACACATACATTTATAATTGCTTTTATATGTATCATCATACATATTTGGAACAAAACTCATGCATTTGTATCGATACTTCCAATTTTAATCCAATACCTTAAGATTCTTTCTAGCGTTCCCACTTTCTTTCTTTGTAAATCCCTTCTCAGATGGAGACAAACTGGTTCCTGTTATTCTCAGTATGTGTACTGATTTGTTCAGTCAGTGAATTTACTTCTGTGTAACAGACTCCGTCTACTCAGGCCACCTCCGCTGTGTCCTCTTCTGTCTTCCTTGATATTGCCGCCCTGCTTCCTTGACCACTGTGCTCGGTTCCCCCTCCCCCTCACTGCCCCCTTTCCTCAGGCAATGACATGCTGACCTTGGGAGGGGAAGGTGAGAAGAGATGGATTAAGGAAAACGAAGGGTCAGGTGTCCTTTTTCATACTTTCCCTTCCCTTAACTCCTCCCACCTCACTGTTCACATTCAGGTGCTTAACCTTCCTGGGAAGCTCATTCCTGAGTCTTTCTCAGGTCCGTCTGCCTCTCTCTGCCGCTGTGTTGCTACTGCCATAGTCCTGGCCCCACCGTCTCTGCCCTGGACCACTCGAGTGGCCTCCTCACTGGTCTTCCCACGGCCAGTTTGCTCCACTGACATCATTGTGCACACAGAGCACACTTCCTAAAATCATCTCTCTTCTCTCTTCTCTGCTGAAACTTTTCAATAGCTTTCTACCATTTTTCTTAAAGGATTGGTACGACTTTATGCGAAGCACCAGGTAGAAGTTAAGAATTGGTGAGGCTTTCATTTTCAGGACAATATTTATTATTTAAAGCAGTTAACACATTTTGCTTAGTAAATTAGTTGTGTTAGCTTATTATAATTATAACATAATTATATTATATTGATTAAAACTCCTATAAAGCCAGGACTGTATTTTTTCATCTCTCTATCTGAAGCCAGGTCTTTGATTACAAGTTAGGATTTTTCCTGCAAAGATTGAGATGGAGGGATCCTTCTGTCCCACATTATGAATGGGGGGGTGGGCATCACGAGTAGATGTTTAATAACATTTACCATCCCTCTTTACTGGTGAGACAAAGAAAAATAGGTCACAAAGTTCCTGCTAATAAGAAAAGTGGGGTGATCACTTTTATTATATAAAATATAAATATATTTTATTATATAAAAGTATGAGAACATTGTTGGGGTTTCCTAAAATAAAGTTATTCTAATGTAATCTTAAAAAATTGTTTCTGCCTTATTAACAGGTTTACATGAGGATTTATTAAAGATTGAGGTGACAGAAACTGAAAATATGCATTCTGAAAACACTTTAGGCAAATTCCTAGCAGGGAATGACAATTGCTTCCTCCCTAGCATGCCTTATAGAGCTGAACTTCCTTTTTCTTTTTCCAAATTGTTCTCTCAGGAATGTTTGCTGGAGGTTAATGTACCCATTTGGTGTTAAAGATGAGAATTCTTATAACAGCCTTCAAGATCTCAGATGGTTTGTCTCCTGCCTCCCTTTTTTGTCACATCTCCTAAAGCTCATTGTCTCACTCTCTGTGCTTCAACCATACTTTGTTCTGACATTTTCTAGAATTTACAAACACTTTGCTGCCTCAGGATTTTCCCCTTTGCTGGTTCCCTGTGCTTGGATGCTCTTTTCACATGGCTGAGTCTTCATGTTTCAGCTATCAGCTTAAATGTCTCCTCCTCCTATAGGACATCCCCTGGCCCCTCAAATCTCTTTGTATTTTTGCTCATAGCAATGACCATAATTCTATTTATCTAAAGTATGGAAGCATGGTTTTCCCTGTTAGTGTCAGTTCCAGGAAGGTAGGAGCCCTTATCCTCTTCTTCCCTTCCTGAGCACACATGGTGGGTACTTAGCAGGTCTCCGTTAACCAGATGAATGCCTGAGCTCTGGCTGGGGAAGAGTGGTGTTCAGTGCTGGGGCACTGACCTGCTCCTTGTTCTGTTTGTAACAGTCTGCATCTGCTGTCTCTGCCACCGATCTCCTGGTCATCTCTTGGTCCCATAGATTCCCCTGTACCAGTGTGGTCCCTGGCCCAGCAGCATCAACATCACCTGGGAACTTGTTAGAAATCCAGGCTTTTGGCTTTTGACCCAGACCTGCTGAATAGGAATCTCTAGGGGGAAGGCTCAGTAATCTGCCTGTTAACACGCCTCCAGCTGATTCTAATACCTGCTGAAGAGGGAGAACCATTGCCCTAGTCCTTGAAGCTCTTGGAAAACATGGGCACAGTGTGGAGTGGAAGATGGTGAATTTCTCCTTCCCACTCAGGAATGGCTCCATGGCTTAGGGATTGGTTTTTGGGAGGAGTGGACCTGACTTAGGAAATATATTGGATGGATAAAAGATTACTAGAATTATTAGGATTACAGGAACTCTCTATGAACCATAGTGGGGACCGAGAAACCTGTAGAGTTAGATTGAGCGAGATGGCCCCGACGAGGATGATAACTGGGGTAAACATTACTGATGGGCTGAGATGAAGGGGATAAAAAGTGAAGAATTTTGCAGTGTAGTGGTTCTCACTGGGGTTGGCAGGGAGCTTTTCAAGCAAATTTTTTTTTTTTTTTTTAAAGATTTTATTTATTTGACAGAGAGAGATGCAGTGAGAGAGGGATCACAAGCAGGGGGAGTGGGAGAGGGAGAAGCAGGCTTCCTGCTGAGCAGGGAGCCTGATGCAGGACTCGATCCCAGGACCCTAGGATCATGACCTGAGCCGAAGGCAGACGCTTAACTACTGAGCCACCCAGGCGCCCCTCAAGCAACATTGACTACTTCCTCCACTTTACTCACACCCTGCCCCTATTCTGATGTATCTTAAGATCTCCCCGGAGTCAGATGAGAGTTTAGAAAAGCTCCCAGGGTAATTTTGATAGGACTTGGAAAAAACCATTCAAAAGACAAAATAGAAATGGTTTTTAAAGTTTTTATTCCATGGTGATTCCATGTTTCTAATTAGATATGCATCCTCCAGTTTTGGCTTAGTCTATTTCCTAGAAATTGCTTTTATTATATAGACTATCAGGAATTCTGGAGGTAACACAATGTTCTTTTTGAAGCAAATTTTGAAGTGAATTTTAGACAGGAGGTGTTTTCCCCAGTTTTAAAATGTAGTCTTAAGCTCTATTTTATTTATTTATTTTTTTATTCTTATGTTAATCCCCATACATTACATCATTAGTTTTAGATGAAGTGTTCCATGATTCATTGTTTGTGCATAACACCCAGTGCTCCATGCAGAATGTGCCCTCCTCAATACCCACCACCAGGCTAACCCATCCTCCCACCCCCCCCTCCCCTTAAGCTCTATTTTAATAAGTAAATATTTCAAAATCAGTTCACTGGAGATCAGACTTGAGATTTGATTTTTTTGATTCAGAAAATACAAGCACTAATGTGCTCTTAAGCCTCCATGAAACTCTCAACTGTGTTTGATATCCAGAAGTGTTGGGGTAAAGATTATTTTCTGCATGAGCTTTTTAAAATGGAGAGTCTGTTAGGCTTCTGAGCGGTGTTCTGAAGATGAGACATTCTAGTTGCCTTCATATTGGTTTGAATACATTTAGAAGTAGTCTGGACAAATCTTTTATCAAGAAATGTCCCCATCATGATCATTATGATCAGGTGGGGATTTTATATTGGTAGAAAGTCAGTTTTGCTATGAGAGCTGCCCCAACAATTGTTAAAATGTCAATGACAGTGTTTCGTGTCTTGAGGTCACTGTTGGGAGAACCCTTAGGGACTCTGTTTAAAATGCTGTTTTGTTTTTTAATTCTTGGATTAAAATAATGAAATAATTCTGTTTTGATTTCATACAGTGCAGTTTTCTTAGATCCATTATAAATGAGTTTTAAAAACTTTCACATTCTAGAATGAGAGCTAGCTTTATTTTTAGTGAATTCATTTTTCATACTCCTATTTTCAGATATTAGTTGCTACTTTTCTACTGAAACATATACAATTTGGGCTTTAGACTTGAAGAACCCTACTGTCATGGTTTCCAAACCATCATGTCTAACTTAGCCATCTGTAACTCCCATGGAAGGAAGAGGAGAGACTGAAATATGATTTGAAAGGTGTCCAAAAGTGATTTTTTTTCCCCATAATTTCATTCTGCTCTGGTAAATGAATACAGATCCCTGGTATATGTTTGAAATAGAGTCAATGATTATTGTTACGTTTTCTAGCTTTGTTGAGATGTCACTGACATAATGTGTAAGTTTAAGATGTACTACATGTTGATTTGATACATGTATATATTGCAAAATGATTACCAGATGATAGTGCTAGCTAACCTCTGTATCATATCACATACTTACCATTTCTTTGTTTTATTTTTAAATATGCTGATGTTTTCCAACTTTCTTATGCCAAAATAAGTAATGAAGGAGCAAGGTAAGCACCCCAGAAGTGGATGTTATCTTTCTGAGGTGTGGTTACTGTACCTGGAGTTGTCTGATGGATCTGTTCTGTCTCTGCAGGCCTTGTGTAGAATCACCCGTCATTCTCCTACTGCCTTCCAGAGTGTTATTGAGAAGGTGGGACTGAACTCCGTGATAAACTCCCTGGCCTCAGCCATCTGCAAAGTTCAGCAGTACATGTTGACCTTATTTACTGCAATGTTGTCTTGTGGGATTCATCTTCAGAGGCTAATCCAAGAAAAGGTTTGACTTAGATTTCACCTATTACTGTACTTTAAAAATTGTTGTTGAACCATTGCAGTTGCAGGAGAAAACAAGTAATATCATCTCTATAGAATTTATTTTTCTTCTCAGGGGACCTTTTTGAACTTTGCCAAACCCCTGTACCACAAGCCATTCATCTGATGATGTTGTAAGAGTCTTTTAGTGATTAAAATAGAAATCCAGTAAGTGGCTCTGCCTGCGTGTCCCATTTTATTAATGAAAAGCTGGAAAATTTATGAGTCCTTCTTATATGCTGATATTTCTTATGCCTCTGGCTCTTCAGCCCCCATCTCTTTCCCCATATGCTTTGTCTTCCCTTTATATTCTCTGCTTACTTGGACTCCTTTCTTGCCCCTTTCCTTGTCCAATATTTGGCTAACACAAATCACCTGGACAACTCCCTTTCTCCTGTTTTTAACTTAGTTTCCTTCTAATCCTTTGATATTTCTTTATGTACAGTAGAGTTTTTAAATATTCAGTTCTGATCCCAAAACTGCACAGCTGTGAAGAAGTCTCTGTGGTAGCCTTCCTCAACATGTCTTCTCCTCAACGTGTCTGCCCGCTAAAGAGTGATCTGAGAACCAGAAGCAATGGGCATCACCTGGGAGAGGGTTGGAAAGGCAGCCCCTTGGGCCCCACCTTGGGCCTGCTGAATCTGAATCTACATTTTAATGAGATCTCTAGGTGGTTTGTTCGAACTTTATGATTTGAGAAGCCCTGTCCTAGAGTATTAGTGCTGAGTGAGGTGTTACCAGGTAGAAAAGGTGGACCATGTTTGTATATACATGTTTGGAAAGCTATGAGTCAAAGTGAAAGGGATAGTTTTAACTGTGCAGCCTTTCCCAGTGTTTTATATGCTCATGTGTATTTTGAATCTTCAGAAGGGTAATGTAGTGTGTGGTATTCTTTAACCTTATTGGACCAATTGTCCTTTTTTTAGAGGGGAGATGCCTATGAAATTGGAGTTTTGAGAACTCGGTGAAGGTAATGCTCCTAACATGTGGAGAATGGAACCACTTACATACACTACTTGCCTTGGTTCTTGTGTGTTATGGTCCACACATTAAATTCTGGTTTTTAAAATTTCAGTAATTATGAATAATTATCTGATTTACATAATAAACTTGATCTGTCAGAGTCAAGATGGAGAGTAAACCACTTCTTGTCTTTACTCTGATTAGTCTGATTTAGATTCTGCTATGAAGTTTGAGCCTCAGAGAAACCTGTTTTTTCCCAACAGTCTGTGTATCTAATTTTTGCTTTTAAATTTTCCAAGTCATTAAATATTGTTACATTGTATTAGAAAAAGCCCCACTTGAGTAGTTTTCTGTGTAAACTGTGATAAGAGAGGCTGAGAGTTTTTGCAGTTTTGTTTTTTTTTCCACTCTCAGAACAGGTATGGATTGACTTAGTTTCACAAGGTAGTAAAATAAGATGCATTGATTAATGTGATTTTGTAATTGTTTTATAATATATAATATTCCATGTATCTTAACAAAAGGAATGATTGAACACTGAAATGTATTGAATAAGTAATCTTTTGATTTTGATTAATACTGGTATTGAAAAAAATTATCATGGTAGAAAAGATATAATACAAAATTCACCATCTTCACCATTTTTAAGTTTATAGTTAGTAGTGGTAAGTATATTCACATTGTTGTAGAACAGATCTCTAGAACCTTTTCATCTTGCAAAACTGAAACTCTGTGCCCACTAACCATTTAGGGTGCTGTGTTCTAAGACTCGGGGCTTTATTTGAACCTGTTTTAGTAGGCCTCCTCTGACATGGAACCAGCAGAGAAAGGAGGGTGATGCCTGTGCCTGCCTCACTGGGATGGAAGTCCATGTTCCTTGGTGGGCTTCTGTTGACACCCCGGGCGTGCAGAGAGCCCCTCTTTACTGCTGGGCAAGGGTGTGAGTCCACACTCTCCATAGGCCTCCTCTGATGCCCCCCTAGCTGGGAGTGGGGAGGGCTCCTCATTTACTGTCTCGCCTGCCACTATAGGGTGGGAATGTGAGCCTCATTTCTGGGGGAAGGTGCTGAAGGTGCAGACTTCCCACTCGCCTTCTCTGCTGCCATCTTGTTGGGGAGCGAGAAAGGAATCTGGTTACTGCTATATATGGGCGGAGACCCAGGCTCCCCACGTGGTCTGTACTGACACCAGGGTTGGGGCGAATGGCTGTTGTTGGGTGGGTGTTATTGTCAGCTCTCCACTTGCTCTTTTCTGGTATTGCCCTTGTGGGGAGAGTGTTGGCTATTGAGGGTAGGAGTTTAGGCTTCCCACTTGCCCTGGGCTGATGGGGATGGCGTCATGGTTTTTCCATGATGTTCGGCTAGAGTAGAGTAGCTATTGTTTGAAAGTTTTCAATCTTTCTGGGCTGCCCCTTTCTTGGTCCTTTGGCTTGAGAGAGCTGATCTTTCTTCCGTTTTGTGCCTATCGATGTTTCTAGGCTCCTGGATTATCCAGCACTCAATCCAGGATATCTGAGGCAAAAAATAAAACCCAGTCAGTTCATTGCCATGTTGATGCTCAGGTCCTGAGGTTCCTACTGGTTCTGTCTTCTCTTTACCTTTCAGAGTTGTCTTATGTTTGTTTATATCCAACTTCCAGGGTTTTTAGTTGTGCTTAGTGGGAAGAATAGGAAAAAGTGCATCTCCTCTCTCTTGTCCTTTAATTTTTAAAATGTTTCTGTGACAGGTCAATAATATGCAGTGAATTCTCTTTTAAAATGTAAGATTCTATTTTTTATTAATTAAAAAGTATTACCATTTATTGAACATTTACTATGGGCCAGTTAGTGACTTGCAATCCTGGGGTATTCGTGGATGAAACTTAGTGTGTTGAGTAATTTTGTCAAGTTAATGGAGGATGTAAGTGCTAGAGCTAATGCTCATGCCAGACAAATGAGGGACGCAGAACAGTTTTGGATAATGTTGATGTTCTGAAGAACGTAAAACAGAGTAATGTGATAGAGTGTCTGTAATAGCGTGCAAGGAGTGCAGGTAATGATATTACCTGGGTGTGTGTGGGGGGGGTGGGGAGAAGTCAGGGAAGGCTTCTCTGAGGAGGTGTCATTCCATCTGAACCCTGAATGACAAGGAGTTTGCTCTGTGAAGCCCTGGAGCAGGGGGAGGGGGAGAACTTTATAGTTCAGCTTCCCTGAGGTGTGAGAGATCTTGGGAAGGTCTGGAAAGAGAAAGAAGGCCCACAGAGCTGAACCTAGTGAGCAGGGGGTGGGGAAGAGGCCATTGGGAAGAGGCTGGGAACGGAGGGAGGCCTGGATCATGAAGGATCATGATATTGGCCTTCCTCATGGGTTTTATTTTTACTTAAAAGTGCATTTAAAAAAATAGACATGTGTATTTCAGGGGCAGGTTTAGCAACCTTCTTATTGCTAAGTTGAGCTGCTTTTCTGAGTGTTTGGTTGTTAACAGGTTAGAATAAGTGAGAGAGGAGAGGACCTGGGAACAACAAGTACCGGCTCTACTTCCTGTTGGACAGAAGAAGAGCTGCATGTGTGCTTTTTGGGGAACCATGGACTGTATATCATGATCTTTTAAAAACTGAAAATGAGTCCCCAGAAGAGGTTCATGCTATTCCTTTTAAATAAAAGAAATTACCATTTAGTGCTGAAAATTTAGAGGAAGCTAAAGAATAAGACAAAATCAGCTGTAATCTCACTGCCCAGAGATAATGACTATGAACATGTTGGTCTGTCTCTTCTTAGTCTTTTGTCTGTGTGTCTATGTATTTTACACACACATTTATAAAATTAGGATCCAAATGTGTAGGTTTATCTTTTTTTAAAATTTATTAGAGAGAATGCGAGTGCACTCATGCTCATGTGTGGGGGGAAGGGGAATGGGGGAAATGGGCAGAGGGGGGAAGGAGAAGGACAAGCAGACTCCACGCCCATTGAAGAGCCCAGTGCAGGGCTCGATCCCATGACCCTGAGATCATGACCTGAGCCGAAACCAAGAGTCAGATGCTCAACCCATCTGAGCCACCCAGGCGCCCCAATGTGTAGATTTATCTCGATGGCACTTTGTCATTAAATATTCCCCAAGAACATTAAAGAGTATTGTATAATTTTTCATTTTGTGGTACTACAATAATTTAATTCTTTCTCCACTATTGAAGTGTTTGCTTCTCATTTTTTGATTTCCACTGACCCCGATGCAGTGAACATGCTGTTGCATACATCTTTGTGTTCACTGCTAATGGATTACCACAGGTATTATCCACATTTAGAAGGCTCTGCCTAGACAGTGCTAGACTATTCTCTAGAAAGGTAAATGATGAGAGTATAATGGCTTGAAATTTAACCAGCAATCATTAGAGACATGCTATCTTTCTCTTATAATAAAACGTGGGGTTTGGGATTATTAGCAGCATACTGCATGTTTTCATAGTTATTTGCAGTTAGCAGTTAACCTGACTCTCCATTTGAACTATGTAACTGTAGCCAGGTTTTCATCTTAAACTAGACTAATCAGATTATTATTCCCTTCTGAATCATGCTCATGTTCTCGAGTGGGTAGTGAGGTATTAAAGGAATTTGTTCAGGTTACTCTCTTACCTGTACGAGCTACTTGCATGTCTGTGCCCTTAGCTGACCAGTATCCAGCACCCATGTGTATCGGTGATGTTTAATTTGTTTTGTATTGCCATCTTCAAAATGATCTTCTTTCCCATAAATGTGCTAAATGGCAGAATATTCCTTTATCCAAAAACAAGTGTTAGTTCCATACACTGGGATGTGAAAAGTGAGCGATCACAGCCATGGTGACAGGGGACTCTCTGAGTCACAAATCATGTGTTCTGAATATTCTAGTAACTGGAGAAATTGAGCAAAACAACAAGTGACAAGTAGTTTTTCCATTTTTTTTTTCCTCCCCAAATACTCAACACGATACTTTTTGTACCATTGGTAGATGGTACTTTATTTATTTATTTTTTAAAGATTTTATTTAT